CATTGTAAGAGCTTCATAGATAGCATCAGAAAATTCATATGTATTCCAAGGATTTACCAAAATAGGACCTTAAGAAATATTTAACTTATATTAATATAAAATAATATCAAAGTGAAAAGTATGATAGGATTATATTTACCATCCAAACATTGAGCAGCACCAGTAAATTCACTAAGAATCAATACTCCTTTATTTTTTTGCTGACGTGAAATGTATTGATGAGGTAAAACATTCATACCATCTCTTAATGATGTAACCATGAATACATCTGACACAGTATATAGTGCTAATAACTCTTCGAAAGAAAGCTTATAATGCATGAAATGAATAGGTGATAAGTCAAAAGTACTAAATTCGCCATTAATTTTTCCTTCCAGTCCATTGACAACATGATGTAAATTATCACGCTCTTCAGTATACCATCGAGAAGACTTGACTACATGAATAAATACAACTTTTCCAATCCATTCGGGATGTTTAGTTAAGAATAAATAAAATGCATGTAACTTTTGTGGAACGCCTTTAATATAATCCAATTGATCTATGCTTGAAATAATTTTAATATCTTTATATTTTCCTTTCAAGTTTTTAATATGCCTTTGAACTTCAATTTCATTTGCTTCGATTTCATTTAAGTTCTGTGATTTGGTTAAAATGTGCAGAAAGCAACAATATTTAGAACATGAGAATAAAAAAATAGTTAAAAATTGACTACCACTTTACAATCTAATAAATATCCAGATCTATATTATCACTGTGTGAATAAAAGGCACAATTAAATGTAATTTGAAAAGTGAACAACATTACAAATATCAATTGATCATTGTGACAGATTAAGATGAAAATGAAATTTTTGTTATATAGGCAGGCTACAAAAATTTTTTTTTAACTTTTTTTTTTTTCATTTTAAACCAATTTAACTTTAATCTGCGACAATAATTGCACCATATTTCTGATCTTTTCTATTAATAAAATAATAAAAACTAAACATACCCCATTGAATCTTTCTGGATCAATGCCGATAGGAAATATGCCAACATGCACATGCCTATCTTCATAGTAAACTCTATTAGGTTTGGTCAATAAACCTAATATACTAGTACATGAAGACAAAAAGTGACGAGCATTGTCAAATGTTTGAAACCCAACCAGATCAGATTTAAGGACACTAGTCAAAATTTCTTCACGAACAGGAAGAATTCTATTTCATATTGTATTATCAGCTTTAATAATTTTCATCAAAATTACTTTATAATTAATTTAATTAATAAAAATTGATAATACCTGTAGATTTCACTACTTGGAAACGGCGTATGTAAGAAATAACCAATCTTTACATTTAACTTTCTATTACCAATTCTCTTTCTTAACATTTCTGGCAAAAGCATAAGATGATGACCATGTATCCATATTAAGTCATCATCTTGAACTATATCATTAATAACATCTGCAAAAAGACCATTAACAGTCTTATATGATTCCCAATCTTCTTGGTTGAAAAACTTATCGGAAGGATTGCAATAGTGAAACAATGGCCATAGAGTCAAATTTGAAAAATTATCATGACGTTTAATTAAAGAATTTTCAATAAAAACAGGATAATATGAGAATTCTTTTAGCTGCGCAGTAATCTTATCTCTTCCTTCAGATACACTTCCACCTAAATGAAAATAAGAAGCAAATTTTTATTTAGAGTTTATATTATTTTCAAATGAATGAATAAAATAAGTAATTTATTTAAATTGTTTATAGCTGTTATAGACATAATGTGACAAATGCGGTCAGTTCTGATCTAACAATTGAAAAAAAATTGACTTTTTTTGACAGAATTGTGCATTTAACTAATTAAATACAGTCAACTATCGATATAACAGAAATGTATATATGCAAATTACTTGTAGTATAACTAATTTTTATTGATATACTCAAAATTTTGTTATATCAATAGTTGATTGTATTTTGATCGTTAATGTTAATGTAACGGTCAGCGATTTTCGGTTAGCCGAAAATAGCCGACTGTTCCTATCCCTACATGTGCATAAACTAAGTTCAGAAAACACACATCACCCTGAATATAATGACTTCATAATAAAATCTTTTTATATCGACATTAAATTTTAATATAAAAATGTCAGTATAACTCATTGTATCGATATTTTAAATTTTTTGCTAATGAAAAAAATTGTCGATATATCCAGAGCAATGTGTATGTAAAATTTAGGCATATATATTTTAAATATTGCTAAAACTGACTTAAGAACTATCTTTTATGGATCGCAACCAAGCACTGCTATAACACCGACAGACATTTGAGAATTGAACATACAACATAAAGTTGCCTCTTAATGTTCGATAAACAAATCTATAAAATTTGAATAAACTAATGCTATATAGTCAACTCTCTTTATAACGAACCTCTCTATGATATAAACGAATTCTGGAAATAATGAACTAAGAGATTTGAATTTAATATTAGTTCGAAATAAAAAGAGTTGTGGTCTCTTAAGAACAATTTTATATAGCGAAGTTTTTTTATAGCCAGAACCAACAGTTCGTTACAGAAAGTGTTGACTGTCAATGTTATAGATGCTGAAATTAAATTTCCAACTCTGATTTTCAATATGGAATCCAAAATTTAAATATCAAAATACTACATCATATATACAAAAAAATAAATAAATTGAATTTATACCAAGTAGTCCGATCCAAATAAATTTTCTTGATTTTTCAAATTCACTAAGTATGTCCACCAAACCATTAGATGATTTTTCAAGTTTATATCCACTAACCGTCTCTACAATAGTATACGGTAAAAAATGTGAAATAATTAAGAGCCTAGGCTCGCCTTAAATATTAAAAAAAAATAGTGAATTAGCTGAAATCTTAAAAAGAAATAAAAAGCAAGATTACAAAATACTGTGAATGTTATCAATACTTTTGGATTCTTTATATGTATTGTTTTGACAGTCTTTGGAATTTTCTAACATTAACTGACGATCCTCCAGTACAGGATCTGGATTGTTTATTATAAATTCAACAGAATTCCCTTTTGATAATTCATTAAGAGTGAGAAAAATTTCATCTAGTGTTGGGCGATTATCAGGATTAAGAGACCAACATTTATTGAAGAGACTAATGTAATCTGAAGGCGTATTTGGAATAGAATTTTCTTTTTTGCCTTTTAAAATTTCTAATAGCACGGCTTGTTGGTGAATATGTTGAAATGGAGGAACACCACTTGTAAGTTCCCAGAATAATACACCTAAACTATAAATATCGGATTTTTCATCATGCTCAAATTTGTCCCTTGTAAAGAATTGCGGGTCAATATATGGTATTATTCCTAGTACATTTGAACTTGTTGAGGTTGCAGTTATATCCATTTGCTTTCCTACACCAAAATCTGCGATTAGGGCTTTACAGTCATTAATCAGGATATTATTGGAATGCTAAAGAATTGACAATTATTATGACTAGTTTAAAAATTGAATAAACATTTAGGAATTTAGAAAAAAACTTACTAGATCTCGGTGAATGATAGATTTAGTATGTAAATACTTTAGTCCATCTGTAATCTCTTTTGCAATTTGAATGAGTTCTATCCATGAAATTTTAAAAATTCCATCTTCATGCTTTGTTTTTAAATAATCCCGTAGAGTTCCACCGTCAGCAAACTGCAGCACCATAATAAAATTTTTCGTTTGTGGATCTAAAAATTTTATCAAATTGTGTTAGGAAGTGTGAGATAATGGTTTATATGCAAATAAACTCAACTCAAATTGATTACATACCAATTGAAACTCCATGAAATTTGACAATGTTTGGATGATTAAGTTGGTAAAGAAGTCCAAGCTATATATAGTTAGTTTAACAATTAATAGTTTTATATTGAAAATCATATTACTCAATGATATATGAGATATTAATGTATTATATTACCTCACGTTTTGTCTCTTTAAATATTTTTTTATCAATGCTTAAATTATTGTTTAAACTTTTTAGTGCGTACTTTTTCCTTTGAAAAACTGCCGAATAAACAACAGCTGATCCACCACGACCAACAAATTTTCTATCTTTAAACTTTGAATAATTAAACTTTTTTATGCCTCCTAATTTCTTTTCTAACTCTTCTGTATATAAAATTACTAAATAAAATATTTACTTATTAATTTATTATGTTATTATAATAGATATCATTTTAATTAAGAATTTAAATTATCCTGTTGCATAACTTACATGCTCTTGACATATCTTCTTCATCTACGTCGCTCTCGCCTGAAAGTTTAAAATAATTTAATATGTTCCCGAATATTCGAATCAATTTATTTCTAATCATATTTCTTATAGCTATTATTTCTTAAACTTCGTCTTTGAATGTATGCTATCTATACGTAATAATTCGTAATCACGGCTTTTGAAATTCTAATCTTTTGATCCGAGATTATATTAATGCTTCTTTTATTAAATAAACCCTAGGAAAGAAATGTCACAAACCACAAAATATCGCACTTTTATTAATGTTTTTGTATGATGATACGGAGATAGATCCGTTTAATTTCGAAATTATTTGCGTACAAAATTCCCACGAAACAATTAATATGTATATATTTAATTATTTTTTTATCTAGTAATACAAACTCTTGAAAAGGAATAGCCAATCAGAGAACACAAACCTTGACTTTTACGGATCTGCCCAACGCATAATCCGAACATATGCAGAAGAAGAAAAAAAAAAAAAAGAAAATACTCGAAAACCAATGTTTAAATTGACCTTGGTGCACTAATTAAAAGTGATGGGAACTAAGTTTTATATATTATTGTAATAAGTAAAATATATTTCCAAAGCCTCTAACGCTAATGTCCTAACCCAAAATTCTATTATCACGCGACCTATTTTATTTGAATCAGGGCGACCATCAAAAGTGCAGTAACGTGTCTTGTGGTGCAGCCAAACCAAACTACACACAACTTTATATACTAACGCTAATAAAGCCACAGCTATTCACAGGAAAA